TTGCTGTTTAATGAAAATACGTTGCATTATGGTTTGTTTATTGTTATAGTATATTGTTATATTCTTTTTACTTATGGTTGCTCTCAAAATTGCCGTTTGTTTTGAATATTTTCGGGTTTTTGATGACGTCATCGTCCATACGAGGCGTACGTAAAACAGAGGGTTCGTATAACTGGGGTACGTAAAAACGAGGTTCTACTGTATAACAATAATTACCGATAATATGCTTTGTACAATCGACTTTATTATTAGATTCTATTGAATTTATGCATTGTACAGCTTGCAAGATGTTAGTTATTTCATTCATCTTTAATTGCAAATTTCTAATAGTACAAGAAAGAGAATGTAAAATACTCTATATATGCCACTGCCACCAATAACAGAAGTTTTAGTTACCGTAAAGAAAAAAAAAATCGGCAGTCTGCAGCAGGTGGATGTCCCAGACTCCCAGAGCATGGGACATGTTCCGCTTGGCTGTTGGCAGATGGTCGGTAGCTAGTGGTATGAGTTGACTTAGATTGATACTTCGCAACACTTCAATCTTGAAGTCGAACGGGAAGCGTGATTAGTGCGCAGCTGAGATGTGTACTGTCTGAGGTGGTTGGTCAGATCCTGCTTAAATGCTGTTGATGATGAACTAAAGATATTTTCATTGACTTTGATTAATACTTCGCAACACTTCAAATTGAAATCAGTCTTGTGGATCTGTAAGACTGCTTTATAAAGAGAGATAAAAATGAACTGTAAAGGTAAAGAAAATATTAAAACAGTAAGCCATAATTTAATCCATTTAATATATTTTAGAGCAAGAGAAAATACCACGCTAAAAGAATGCATTCTGTGTTTTTATAACTGGGAATTTTCAATACTTCAATTATCAACATTCAAAAGTATCATAGTCCTCTTTCTTGCTCTTCTACTTCTTGTATTCCTCTTTGAAACTCTTAAATCATGAATCTTCTTGTGCAGGATGTGTGTATACCATGTTGATTGCGTTTGTATGGTGACGACTGTCTCCAATCCCTTCTTGATTGGTGTCTGTTTCTACCATGGTTGTGTGTTTTCCATCTTACTTTTTGTTTTTAAGGGCATCTGCATATCCAGTGTCCATTGCTCCATTTATTCCATCTCCATTGCCTCTCCTTCTTGTATGGGATGCCCTGCGTATGAGTCCATTGCTCGTACCCTGTTATCCAGCTCTCTTATTGTTGCCCCATGAATTTGCAGTAGAGTTCCCTCTTCCACATTAACTTCTTCTCCCTGTTCCTGGTTTTCATTGGTTATTTCTTGTTTCTCTTCCATTATCTATTGGGTAGATTTGGTGTGTTGTCAGCTTCTTAATGTTGACTGTAAGAAGAGATGATAAATATTAAACCTACTACTATAATTTTGAAAGTCTCCTATGGTGAAAAGTGAGGTGATGAATAGACGGTCGGAAATGATTCGTTATCAGATTACATTTATATTGAAAAGCAGAAAAATGTTAAATGATAAAAAATTGTCATCACTGTACCTCCGTGCTATTCGCTAACTTTTTCTTTTTATTGTTAAATTTTGCATTTTAATGGTTCTCACAGGTGGGCAATGTGTGGGCCCGATGTTGATTTTAAATAAATAAAAAAATAATTAAAAAATACTTTGTGTGCGGCCCACCAGCCATCTTTGGCTAGAAAATCCCTTGTATTTTACTACACAACACTGATTACAGTTTAAAAGTAATATTAGAACTGAGCAAAAAGTGGTATAAAAGCAGTAAATGAAGCTTTTTGGAAGCACACTGGAAAGTCGGCCCTCAGTGTTAAATCAAAAATTCCCTTTGACCCATTTTTATGCCCATTCCTGTTCTAGATAGTTGGAACATAAAACCTAGTACCTAAGTACATTTGAGTGCCCATTATGAGGTACTGATAATTTCAGGTTCTCTATTGGTTATTACAGGATGAACTGAAGAAGAAGTACACTGAGCTTGAGACTGCCAAGCAGCACTGCACACATTACAACAATAAGAAAAAGGAGCACTTAAAAGTACTTGCCGACTTACAAAAGGAACTCGAAGCAAAGCAAAAAGAAATAGAGGTGGGTTTAAAATTTAAAATAAGCAATAAAGAGGTTGAACATAGACTGAAGAATTTTTGAGTCCAACTCCATATACATTTTTTGATCTATTATATTTCTCTTGGCCAATTGTTTTCTGTTTACTTTCTTGTCACTAATGTTTTTGAAGTTGTGTAAGAAATTCCCACTGTAATTTCAAGATGATAAATTTTATATCTGATTATTGTATTGTCTAATTGTATTCAAGATAGAAATAAAAGTGGGTTTAGCTTCCACAAAAGTATAATTTGAGAAAGAAAATAACATTGATAAAGCACTTTAATCAATGACATAAGTGTATGCACCATGTCAGATCTGAACGCCCACCTCAAGGTTGATAGCCCAAACACCATTTCCATCAACTTTGAGTTCAAATTTTCTGTGTGACATATGCTTGTGTGTGAGACTGGCTAGATTTGAACCCTGACCTCAAGATTAACAGGCCAAAACACCACTGCTGCCCACACCGCTTTCATGATTTCTATCATAATTATAATAGAATTAATTACTATTTTACTGCAGAGTGCACAAGAGAAAGCAAGATCTATATGCGCAGAACGAATTGAAACTCGCAGAACTGCTCAGAATATTGATAGTGAAATCAACCAAATCAGTAAACGTATCGAGAAAGAGCGTAAAAGGTAGGATCAATAAGATGTGCTCACAAATCTGTATTAATAAAATTGCTGAAGATTTAATAAGTTGTCCTTTACTTAGTAGTTCTATTGAATTTTTTTTGTATTGTTATGGATCTTGTCATATTCTTAAGTATTTTTACTAAGTGTTTTGAGAATGTAAAATACAGATTTCACATTGTCAACAGTCCATCTAAGAGGGCAGTTTGGAGACAATATGAGGCATGCCATCCCAAAATCAACATCAGTGACCAAGAAATAAAAATTAACTTTTTAATATTCTTATTCTCAACGTTGTAAGCCTTAAAATGATGGGTCATTTACTGGAATTGAATTAAAGTGTGGCTTCTCTGTTCTAAAGTATAAAATACTGCCACAATCTTATGCTAATTACTTCAGTGTAATAATTAGCGACAGTACACTGGCTTTGGAATGGCAAGCCTAATATGTTATAGGTGACATATCATTAGCAGAGAGGTTGATTTTTTGAAAACTTCTTCACCTATATTATTGTTATATTATTAGGCGCCGTTCACAATTTTCAACATTTTTACGAGCGTACAAACCGTACGCTGGGGGGGAGGTGGCCAGACCACTATGTACGCTTTTTTTCAGTCGTTAAAAATGTCTATAGAAATTACGCCGCAAGAATTGAAAAACATATTCTCGCCGTAATTTTCACTGTGGTGTCGCGATCGAGCGAATTGAATGTCCATGTGAGTATTTCAGTTTACGACACACTGTCAAGCATGCAATGAACAATAGAGAAGACCACGATTAAATCATTCTTCCAGATGAAGCCAAAGGTATGCTTATAGGCTTAGGACTATTGTAGTAAAAAAACAGCATTTCTTGTAATTATTGTCATAGAATATTTATTCACGATTTCGATCAGGCCTAGCCCTAGGTATTCACATCCCAAACAGCTATTAACTGGGGATGCATACCAGTTGTTTAGTGGCGCAGAAGCAGCGAAACCATCCATTGGCATTACATTCCGTGCGAGGCGGAGCCATCAACCTGTCCTTTAGTAGTGTAGATGCCTACATTACAGCTCTATATTATTCTGGCCTATATAACCATAGAGTATCAAATATAAGTGTATCAATGTGAATAGAAATGCATTTTGTGAGACGATGTGTAATAGGCTAGGCTAGTCAGTTCACTAGCTTTACATTATTGTACAAGTTCAATCATCAGATCAGTATGACAAATAGAATTTTTATTTCATGCACTCATATTTACGTTGTCCATTGTCAAATTATCATTTGTAGGTCTTAGTCACATTTTTTTTTTTACATATTTATACTCATTACATTTTTTTTATACTACTTCAGTTTCTGTTAATACAATTTCTAATATTCTCATTTTGTAGGTAAATGAAGGCTCTGTGGCAGATTGTACTGTAGCTAGATGGCCAGAAGCTGTGCATTTAATTGTTCCGAACCATAATATTCAACTGGGAGCAGCAGTGGCTGGATATCGATTAGATGTTGTATGCATATACAGGTAGTCAGGTTAATGAAGCACCATGAGAATATATAAACATAGACACAGGAGTATGGAAACACATTGTAAATAGCCTTATGAAAACCATTAAAAATGCAATATTAGTATTTCAACCTTGAACATTGACACAGAAGTATGAAAAACATTGTAAAATAGCGTAATGTATGAAATTTATATTTATATATTAAGAAAGATTCTGTTGAGTAAAAAGAAACAATAAATAGAGTACAAAACTGTAGTTGGAATTGCAGAAGTTGTCTCCTTTGTTTTCTGTTGTAAAATGCTGATTTTCAGTGCAAAACGACGATACTGAAGATGGTCGGTACTCTGGATATTTCTGCACCGCGAAAGTCAGCATTTTTTGTGTACACTTTCAAGAGAGGGTTGCAAAAAAGAGTACTCTCTGTACACTTATGAAAATGATGAAAATTGTGAACGGCCACTTAATCTATTTTTGAATACTATTATTATCGTTAGTTATTATTGTTGTTGTTATTCAGCCGTGGGGACCCAGAACAGATCACGAGAGAGTACTATGATGCAAAAAATAAATTCATTGAGATCACTACGCAGATGAAAAACTTTAAAGCTTTTGTAACGGTAAGTCCAAACACATGGGATTAAAGATATATTTTTGTAATAGGCCTAAACAAATAATAATATTAGTAATTATGCAATTACAGTTCGATCTCTAGTGCGAGTCCCCCTCTAAGAGAGGCCACATTTTCAAAGTACCAACTAACAGTTTTTAATTTTTTAATACAAAGCTAATCTTTTACCATTACTACTACCACCAGCACTACCCTTCAAACCACCACAACCCCTACCTCCGTACCACCTACCCCCAGTAGCACCTACCCAGTGGCTGTCTAGGATTGGATTGGATTAATTCTGTGTGATAAACACAAAGGATAAACCACTAAAATTCACTTACTTCCAGTAAGGTCCCTCTGGTGGTGAATTTGGCAGTACACCGAGAGACCATCCCCTATACTTATCCGAAGAGTGTACTGCGTTCTTTAACATGCACACAGGACCAACAACTTTAAAACGTGTCATCCGAAAGACGGTGCGCTTTTGAAACTTGAATTTGAGCCCTCCAGCTGAAACACAAGCAGAGCAGCTGTGGGAATTAAACAGGAGACCAAGAGATCTCCACGGTTCAGCGCACACACAGTGGTTACCACCAGCTTAGCCAACTGAGGTAGTTGTTCTTCCCTTGAAATGGGAGTAAGGTGGAGTGGGGGCTCAATGGTTATTTGAGGGGTGCTAGGTCGCAAATGAAGGTGATATTAGGTGATTTTTAACTACTTGCATGATTTTTTTAGCTTTCGACATTTTCAATGGGGGGAGGGGCATGAGATTTTTGACAGTGCACCCTTCTCCCCAAGTACCCCCCAGATATACCACCACCACTTACTTCCTTACCAGCACCACCTAGTTATTAATTCAAATTATTACCATCTTTCAAATTTGCCAAATTTAATTATAGTATGACATACTGTAGTTGCCTACAAATCACCTGGTTTTCAATCCCATTTAAAATTAAGCAGACAACATCTCTTTGATAAGTTAAGTAACCATAATCACTTGGAAGTGGTTAATGAGATACAGGTTTTTGAATATTTAAAACTAGGAGGAAAAAGGAGCGTAACCAGCCTTTTTCCCCTAGTTTTTAAATATCCAAATATAATAATTTTTTGTTGGTATGTTGTACAACTGATTTTTCTAAGACCCTATTTGAGGAAAAGTGGTTAATGAGATACAGGTTTTTAAAAATTCAAAAAATGGGGGTGGGGAGAGGTGCATAACCACCCTTTTTTTCCCCACCATTTTTCCCTAGTTTTTAAACATTCAAAAATTTGCATGTCACTTACCGCTTCTGAGTTTTTAGTCAAATTTGGATTTGAAGACTTAAAAGGTGATGATGATTTTTAACTACTTGCATGATTTTTTTTAAAACCCAGACTCCAAAAAGACTCAAAAATTTGTTTGACGAAAAGCTCAGGATACAGGTTGTTGAAAATTTAAAATCTACAGGGAAAATATGCGTAACCACCATATTTCTGTTTCCCCCACCCCAGTTTTTAAATATTCAAAAATAATCTGTTATACAACATATCAAAACATATTTTTTTCTCTGGAGCCTAGCTTTAATAGTTTATTTTTTCACTTGTATGGTGGTCTCTATGAATATTTTAATGGCTTTTTACATTTTCATTGTGATTTATTGACATTAAATTGTAATTTACATGCAATTTGGAAAACAATATGTTGAAATAAAGTTACATTAAGTAGAACCCTATGGGACACCCATATTAAGGGGACACTTTTTTTGTGCCGAAGGTGTCCCCTTAAGTGGGGGTTCTACTGTATTAATAACTTCTTTAATAGTGTATGTAGTGTGGAAAATTATTGTACATAAATGCCTATGCTTTTATATTGATTAATTATTTTTTTCAATTTTTATTATTTTTATTTTTTATTTTATTTTTTTCAACTGTTTTTTCTGCTATAGTCTTTCTGAAAGCATCATGGCAAATTTCACACATTTCTTTAGAAAAAAAAAAATCATGTTAGTCTTGTCTGTTTCTATGTTCAAGTGTTGGTTCATTAAATTGTTTATCATTGTACTAACAAATCATGCCAACTTTAAATTACACAGTGTGTTAACTAACAAATGACAAACAGTTCACTGATTTTAAGTAATAAAGAATGTCTTCCCTTCAAACGTATAAGCCAAATAACAACGTAAAAATAGCAGAATGATATCATTATGTGGGAGAGTGTATGTATCACTATGTCATTTACTCTCTTTTTATACTTTATTTCTGTATGTTATATAGCAGCCTTTAATTTAACATTGCAGTTTTATCGGTGGCCTAACCCTAAAGCATCTTAGGCCTCCTTCCATTTATAGAAATGTAAATGTATTATTCCATTCATCATGAATGTTCTAAATTGAAAATGAAATGAAATTATTACAATGAATTTTAATATTTCCCTCCCCTCACCCTTTTACTGGAGAAGTTATGAGTGCCTGTTCTTGTCTGGTCTTCCACTCTACAGAGCTTTACCACACCCTCAATTTATGCTACACCTTAAATTTATGCTACACCTTCAATCCATGCCACTAGCCCTGTTACCAAAACCTCCAGTAAATCCATGCCGGTGCCACACCGTAGGACCATAGCTCCTTTGAACTGTGCACCTAAAACAACATTACATACTAGAACATGTCAGAACCATGCCACATACCCTTAAACCTTGCTATTATACACACCCCAGGACATTGCCACACATATCAGAACCATGCCACACATATCAGAACCATGCCACAAACCCTTTGAAGTCCCAAGTGACTTTTGCCAAGGTCACTGAGGCCCATTAAGCCCCACTGTCATCATCCGCTAAAATAAGGGTAAGTGCATCACTGACATTGAATGATTGCTTCTGTTTTGGCCATTTTGAATGCTTCTGCATGTCCAGTTGCGGCAACAATAGGGAAATCCCCTAAAGTACTCATTAAATAGAGGGCTGCAGCACTAAAATCAGTCCATATATAATACAGAGCGGGTTTCCTGCGACAGTAAATTGGTCCGTATATTATACGGACCGCGACTTTAAAGGGTTAAATCTTGCTATTGTACATGCCCCAGGACAATGCTACACATGTCAGAACCATGCCACATACCCTTAAACCTTGCTATTATACACACCCCAGGACATTGCCACACACATCAGAACCATGCCACATACCCTTAAATCTTGCTATTGTACATGCCCCAGGACAATGCTACACATGTCAGAACCATGCCACATACCCTTGCGCCTTGTTACACACTCTAGGACGCCACACACCTCAGAACCTTGCAACATACCCTTAAATCCTGCTGCACACTCTATTACTGCCACACACCCTAGGACTATGCCACACTTCTCAGAACAGTACCACATACCCTTAAAACTTTGGTACATACATACCACACACACCAGGACCATGCCACATACCCTTGAATCTTGCTACACACCTTCGGACTACGCCGCAAACCTCTTCACTGAAAAATGACATCAATGTTGGGACTACGTTTCACCTGCCTACAAAGGGCTTAAGCTCCCCCCACTCAGCGGCACACCAGCACGCTATAGTTCCTAAGTATTCGACAAATGCTCAGAATTTCAATGCCAAAATCATCTGCTTTGTTGTTTCCCTTTGTGGTAGATATTGCATATCGCTAATCACCTCATAATATCGTAATGTAATTACATAAAGTATATAAACAATATAATTATATTAATGCTAATAATAATATAATTATATAATATAAATTAATTAATTAATTGCTTATATAGCATAATCCATTAAGTTTGCTTAATTTCTCTGATCATAGAAACTTGAAGAACTGTTAAAAATGAGGCGACACACTTATCTAGAATTCAGACGTTTCATTGCCATGCGGGCGAAGTGTTACTTTGCCATGATGCTATCTCAGAGAGGCTACAGTGGCAAGATGTCATTTCAACACAATGAAAATCAATTGCACATTGCTGTGAGTAGTCATTGCTTTCAGCTGTAAAGTCCTGTCGACACTATCAAATGTTAGGTGATAAAAAAATGTATGCCCTTATTTGGGAGTAATACACCCTTATTTGGGTGTAATATGCCCTTATGTGTCTAATATAAGATGATCATGGCCATATATGGGCACATCAGACAAATTTGTCACATAAAATTTGATAGTGTGGACAGACCTTTAAGAGAGAAATACTCACCTGCCTCTTTTAAAATGTTGCCTTAAAAATGTCACTTATGACCTTGTTGGTTTGTCATTGATATTGTCATTGTTTTTGTCTTTGGATATTTTCCTTTAATATTATACCAAAAAGTAGGGAATGGAAAAGAGTGACTCTTCCGATTTTACAATAAAACAACTCGGTGCTACCACATTTCCGAGGGTGCTTGTGTGATATGCGAAGATGTATTTGATACGGGGATGAGTTTATGGTGGGGCAGAAGTGGACCCTGCCACCTAGCCTTCAATTTTTTGACCATGTCTAAAAGATAATTACATGGTCCTCCACCCAACTGTATTAACCCCTTGCCTATCCCTGAAATCCACTCTTAGAGTTTATAACCCACCTGTAGTTTTCTACAGCTACAACCTTGTTTGTATTATCCAACAACTATTGATGACGCACACATTACAAAAGTAAATTGCCAGACATGTCACACTTTAATTGCTCTTCTGTTTACTGTAATTTGATTTCATTTATCTTCAATTGTACAATCTGAAGAAATTACATGATCCATAAAATTGTCTCCATGTCTCAAGCATTGGGTCACACCCTACAGGTTACAGAATGGTGCACTATAAGATGTCTGACAATTGAAATTGACTTTGACATTAGAAATTGTTTCAACGTTTGGCATTGTTTTTAATATTCAAAAGCAACATAGCTTTGATATTTGACAATTTTACAATGACATTTAACAGTGATAACTTTTTTAATGATATTTGATAGTGATAATTGTTTTCCTTAAAGCAAAGTAAATGACAACCTAAATTCTTTACTAGAGAGGCAGGTGAATTTTCTCTCTTTGGTTTTAGTAATTTATCAAGTTATAGAATGATTATTTGACTTATTCCTACTTAAGGCTTTAGAAGCGTGCTTAAGAGACCGAGAGAACGCTTATTTTAGGTTTAGGAAAGTTATTGGAGTGGCAGTGCGGATTAAGTTTGTGCAGTTAATATCTAAAAGAGGATTTGAAGGAAAGTTGACGATGAACCATAAGGACCGTGTCCTAAGCATCCAGGTAAGCATGAAGAAAAGCTTGTTTTTATGAAAGTGATTTGAAAGCAAGAATGTGATGATGGTTAGAGAATAGGTGATGAAGGTATAAGGAAGAAGTGGTAAACTAGAGAGATGATGACTGTAAGAGACAACGTGATTAAGGCAATTGAGGAAGTGATAATGGCCGGCGGCTTGTTGACGGAAAAGAAAAAAAGGTGATGAAGGCAAGGGAGGCATCGAAGTTAAGGAAGGAGGTGATAAAGGCAAGGAAGGTGATGAAAGTAAGTAAGTAGTTAAGGCAAAATCTAAGGAAAATAATATGTGATGATGGTAAAAGAAGAGGCGATAAAGGTCAGGATAAGTGATTAGTGGTATGATGAAGGTAAGTGAAGAGGTGATGAAGGTTTGAAAAGGGGTGATGATGGTAAAGGAGGCAGTGATGACAGTAAGAGTGACAAAACGGTAAGGGAGATGAGAAAAATAAAAGGATGAAGATTAGACAGATGAGGAAAGTAGATGGTTGATAAGATAGGCAGATGATGACGGTAAGGGAGATGAGAAAAATAAAAGGATGAAGATTAGACAGATGAGGAAATTAGATGGTTGATAAGATAGGCAGATGATGATGGTGGTAAGGGTGGTGGTATACCACTCTGTACAAAGGAGATAAGGATGGATGGTAAGATATGGTGGTAAGCTGTACTATAAGTGCAGGCTACCCAACAAGACTGTTTTCAGTAATACATAATTTATGTTTAGGCCAAATAAAATCAACTGCAAGTTTCAAGTCCCCACCCTCATCAAAACAATCATTTTTCCATGGAAAATAAAAATAATGATGATATGAAAGATTGTCAAAGTTCATTTTATTTCTTCATTTAAAAAAAACAATTTTTATTGTTTACCAGCCTGCTTGCCACAAGTATGTTGGATACCCTCATCAAAACATAATTTCAATTCTTGTACCTGAAACTAATAATTAATTTTATTTGACCTTAAATCATGTATTCTAATTTATATTTTTTTTATGCAGGTCCATCCTCATCAAGGAGAAGGGTCTGCATCTAAAGATATGAAAGGATTATCTGGGGGTGAAAGGTCATTTTCTACCGTGTGCTTCATCATGGCGTTGTGGGAGTCGATGGAATCACCATTTAGAGCATTAGATGAGTTTGATGTATTTATGGTAAGATCACTTTTTTCTTGAATTATGGCATCTTTTAAAAAAAATTTAGATGAGTTTTTGTTGTTCTTAGAAAGATAAAATAATGGTTATAGGTCCCAAGTCTTCCGCAAATTGTGGGATTCTCCTGGAAATTTGGAACGGCCTCACGCAATCAAGCAAGAATCTCCCCGAAAAATAACTCATCTCCCTAAATTTTTCAAAATTATAAAAATAAATGGAGAAAAAAAGAAAATTATATTAAAATTTAAGTATGAGAGTGCCATTTTCGGCCATCTACAGATGCCATAATTATAAATTTTCGTACCTCAGCCCCACTGCAGATCTCCTTGGAATTGAATTCTTATTACATGGGACCCCTGCAGTTGTCTAATAAAACTTGTTTGTGGACAGAGGTTTTTATTTATTGTTGTAAATGTTATTTTTTTACATTTGATTAGCCAAAGGTTTTCCTATCTGTTTTTTCAGGACATGGTAAACCGAAAGATTAGTATGGACCTGATGTTGAAAGTTGCCAAAGAACAGAAGATGAGACAGTTCATCTTCCTCACTCCTCTTGACATGAGGTAAGTTGGTTTCCCAAAATATTTTAAAGACAAATTAGGCCAAAATATAGCATTGTGTTTTGAATGTTTCTGATATGCCTAAAAAATACAGTATTAAGTTCTGTCCAGGCAAAAAAAACTGCTGCATGCCCATATACTGTATAGTCATGAAATGCCTATATATGGTCATGATGTGATGTCATCATGACCGTATTTACTCATGTCTCATGTTTTTGTCAAATAAAATGCAATAGTCTAGACAAGGCTTTACATATTATTATTGAGGAGGCAAAAGTGTTGTAAAATTTAGCATATGGTAGGCAGTAATGCCTCTCCTTGTCAATGGGACGTCATTCATCTCAACTCTGAATCGGAATGTGTCAATTTGTGTGTCAACACACCAAACTATATCAAGCACAAGAGAAAGATCGAGCAGCTAGAAAAAATGTGGTTTTTTTTTTTGTAAATTGCAATTTGTATGCTGATAACTTATTACAGCACTAGCAATTGATATACAGTATTAGAATTCTATATTTAAAGTTTATTAGCTTATAGTGTATATTTGATGTTGCCTTCTTATTATTTTATTTTAATCCACATTGGCCAAAAATGCAAAATTTTGAAAATGCAATACATGTAGCAATATATGATGTTACAAATATAGACATTAAATGTAATATTATTTTATCATTCATAGTAAAATCAAAGCCAACCCACTTGTACGGATTTCACGCTTGAATGACCCGGAGAGGAATCAGAATGCCTTGCCCTTTCAACCAGAAGAGGATGAGTAATAGGTCACAACACAAACCTTGTAAATATGTAATGTTTGTTGATGTGTGCTATTAAACTTTTTGTATGCCCACCTTGAACTTTTGTAGATAAAATAGTATGATCAGAAACTTTGAAATCCCATCGTTTAAATACAATTGTTATAGTACGATCAATCTTTTAGAAGCAATGGCCATTTAAAACAACTTCAAATTTGTTATTGTGATTTCTGCAAGGCACTTGGTAGCACTTTTATGTGGGAAATGAGCCAATATATGGTGTAGAATTAATTCCAGCCAATCACAGAAGCAATAGTTATTGGTTTTTCTAGATATGTAACTGTTTTTTTATGGTCATCTTTGAATAGAAAAATAAGAGGTCTTCTTTTATTTTTAAAAAGACCCAGACAATAATTTTTTCCCCTTGAATATGACAATCGTATATAAAAACGGCTGAAAAAATAGAACATTATTATAATTTTTTTTTTATGGTTATCTGCACTGAATGTGACTGGCTACAAGTGTTTCATATTTCCAAAAACTGTTGCACAACAAAACCTACTCTAGCCAATCATTTACTGAGTGGGAGACAGCATAAACAAAAATCTGCATGATGTTTCTTGGCCCTGTTATGTGCTGTTGTCCCCGCTGTCAGCAAATAGGCCTTAATTTTATAGTATTATTTGCTATTAGCATGTATATAATTTTTAGCTATATAATGAATGTTCTACAAATTTAGTATATTACAGTATTATTTAGATGAATAAGTAATTAGATAATAATTGTTTTGTTTATTTCTTTGTACTGTTTTATAGTAAATACAAAGCTCTCAGCTATGCTGTCTTTGTATATCATGAATAAAAAAATAAATAAATATAAAAAAAAGATACGAGCATTCCTAAGCTCCGCCCACACTGTCAAATTTATGCGAAATCTGTGATTTACCCATAGTGTATGACATGATCATGGCCATATATGTGTCGTATGACATCGTGCCCATATATGGGCAACAGAGCTTAAAATTTATCATTAAGGTTAATTAAAAATATATCCATTTGTCTTGTTAATTAGACCTACTACAAAAATAATTCTTGATTGCAGCCAGTTTGGGTGGTTCTGTAAGGTTTATGAAGATTACACGATGTGAAGGTGCTTCTATGTAATAATTTAATCTATGTTGTTTGTAATGTACAAGATGTTTGTTTATTTAGATGGCTGAATTGCCCTTTAAATTATCATCATAACAATAAGAAAAGATGTCCATAAAGTCAAAGAAAATATCAGTTTCAAATGCTTCAGTGCTTTTATATTCAACTGTCACTACTAAAATTCAAACATCAAGCAAATACCTAAATATTAATATTATTTAGCAATTATTATAGTCATGATCTATACACTAGACGAGAATTAGTGCATAGATACATATCACGTGCTAAACACAATGAAGTGCATAATATACAATATGTGTAATCTAGGTAAGCAGCAGTCTCATTTTGACATCTAAATATATTTTGTGATTCTAAAAATTTCCTGTGCATTTTTGACGTATTTCAACTCATGTAGTAAAATTCATGATAAATCAGTACACTATTATATTTTTCACAAACTAGAAAACGTGGTTTTATGGTCTTTCACACCCTGTCTTCACGAAATTTGAATTGCTTGTATACTGTCCTGTGACATCACTTGACATTTTTAAGTGTACTATGCATTATTAATTTGAATTCAACTCATTTAATGTACTTTATTATTATACATGTCACATTCTGTGACCTATGACATCACTTGACCTATTGAAATTGATATTTAATAAAGGTTTTTAAGTGTACCATGCTTTATTAAATTTTGTATTCAACTCATTTAATGTTCTGTGGTATTAAAATTTCCTTGAAATGATGAGCTCACTAGTTAACACATTAAAATATTATTACCATCAAATCAAATTACAGAGTGAAAAAATTCTGTGTATCTATAACCATGTTGTAGGTACGCAGCTCTACTTTAGTCATACTGCTGTCAGTGGTGGATCTAGGAATTCGAAATAGAAGGGGGTGAGCCTAGGAAGGGACAAATAGAGGAAAGAAAATTTATGATTTGGGCACCTAGATGGCCAGAAATGGCACTCTCAGACCTAAGTTGAATTATAATTTCCTTTTTTATCTCCATTATTTTAAAATTTTCAAAAATGTGGGGTAGGAGGAGGGGTGTTCGGGTGGGCAGCGGCTCGGCACCTCCCTGAACCCGCCACCAGCTGTTCGCACTGAAGTTTAAATACACAGTATATTTTAAGGCTCTGTCCACACTTTTTTTTTTTAGAAAAAAACTGTTGTATGCCCATACAGTGTATATAGTCATGATGTGCCTATATATGGTCATGATGTGATGTCATGACCACACTAATAGGCATTTCACATGTTTTCGTCAAATAAAATTTGATATTCTGGGCTTCGCAATAGACATTCCTGCCCGACAACAGCCTGACTGTTCTTTCCTCCTTTAGTTAAACTTACAGCACAAATTTTGTGATGCATGGTAATTAGGGGCACGCCTATTAGCTGTCTCTTATACACATCTAGATGTGTATAAGAGACCCATACAGTGTATATAGTCATGATGTGCCTATATATGGTCATGATGTGATGTCATGACCACACTAATAGGCATTTCACATGTTTTCGTCAAATAAAATATTCAAAAATTCTGGAATGGCCCCTGATTTGACCTGGGAAAATGTTATGCAGTCTCTCTGAATATAAATGTCCAATCCAAACATTTTAGAATTGTCATAGTAAGAAGAAAGAAATGATATCTCAAATGAGCTGAACCCACGACCCTGCGATTTGAAGGAAAGCGATTAAGCGACCATGCTCCACTGGATGCTTTCTAACTCAATGTTTTGTTATCTATCGGTGGGATACCATTCATTCATTCTTTGTCACTTTTCTCACCATTAATATCAACTCTGTTTTTGTTCTTTTCCCCGTCATGCATCCTGTCACAAATTCCGTGGTCGTCGTTTTCATTATCGTTCCTTATTCATGTATATCATTATTTTCATTATCAATTTGCACTTCGGTATTGTCAGTTTTATTTCCTGTTTCAGATTCTTTGACCTGTACTTTAGTCTCTTGTGGCCCATTCTCCTCACGTTCTTCATCAGTATCGTCTTTCTGTTTTACTGTCACACTCTCCTCTTCACTACTGCTTGTTTCTTCCTCTTCATGCTCATTATTCTCCATATCATCTTCATCTACTTGGATATTTTCATTTGTTTCCTCGTCCGCTATATCGCCCTCTTCGTTGGCGTCCTTACTAGCCTCATCACTCCTAGATTCGCTATCTTTTATTGCCTCTTTATCATGTACCTTTAAATCATTTTCATCTGGTATACCCTCCTCTTCACTGCTAGTTGCTTTGTCTTTTTCCCCTCCGTCATCGTCGTTTACCTTGTCTTCATCTTCATCATTTTCATTTATCTCATCATTGGCTGTGCCTCCTTTTTTGGTTTCCTCACAATCCTCATCGCTGTTGCTTGGCTTTTCTTCTTTTATTTCGTCGTCTTCATCTTTGTCCATATCTTCATCTACCTTGATATTGTTTCTATTTGTCTCCCCATCATCTGCATTCTCCTCTTTTACTTCATCTTTCTCCTTTTCACTGCTGCTGGGTTTTTTCTCTTCCACTTCGTTCTCTTTATCATTCTTTTCCGAATCGTCTTCATCTACTTTAATATTATTTTCATTTGTCTCGCCTATATCTTCTTTTACTTCCTCTTCATTATCTTCCTTTTCTGTGTCGTCGTCATCCACATCATTTGGATTTGTCTCAACGGCTAAACCCCGCTCTTTTTCCTCCTCGCTTTCCTCACTACTGCATAATTTCCTTTCTACATGTGCATTTTCTTTAGGCTTTTCTTCGTCTTCCACGATATTATTTGTATTTGTATCGTTGCCTTTACTGTCCTCTGCTTTGACTGTAGCACTCTCTACGCCTTCCTTTTCTTCCTCGTTTTCTTCACTGCTACTACTAGAAGTTTTACTGCTGTCAATGCTCCTAGAAGAAGTACTACTGCTGCTTGACTTTCTTTCAATTTTAGCTTCTTCACCCTCATCTTCATTCTCGTTGTCATTCTTTTCTTTGTTATCAACTGTACTTTCGGTTTCTGTTCGATTTCCGTGGCGATCTTGATCATCATCCACATAATAATTTCGTATTATAACATCTGTATTCTTTTCTTCATTGACATCTGTTTCCTTTATACTTTCACACTCCTCATCTTTATGTTCTTCATCAACGTTTCCGACATCATTTTCGACCATGCTATTATCTTCTACGTTTGCCTGTTTTTGTTCGTCGTCCTGTTCTTTTGCTTGTTCGAAGTCCGGCAGTGTGAGTATTGTGGCAACTTGTGACGTATCCATGATGGCTGATGACGACTCGACAAATTCGTCAAAGCTGCTACCTGAAGACCTGCTTATTTGCAGTGGCAGATCCTCGTCGTATGACCCTATAGAAAAAAATTACAGTAGAGTACATAATATTTTGTTTTGTGTGTTATACCTTAAATAAATAAATAAATAAAAAATATTAGAAATGTGATTAGCCAAAATAGTATAGACTTAATAGTAGACCTAAAGATATATCAGTAATACTAGTATCATGCTTTCAAGTTCATATTTCTTGACACTGTACCTGACGGTCGAAGGTCATGCGGTGATACAATTGGCTCAACATCTAGTTCTTCTGTAAAGTATATCAAGGGTGCAGGTTCTTTTTCCATAAAAACATAGTGTTCACTTTCTGGTGTTGGTGACGCAGCTTGTTGCAGCTTCGATTTGTCTAATTGTGGGTCCCATTCCAGATCCTAAACAATATTGCAATCACATTAAGATGGTAATTTGTGTTAAAATTTGGGGAAAGCTTTTAAAGTTCAATAAAAAGTACATTACATTTCTTATTTAAACGCCATGCTATTTTAGTGTCAGTGGAAATTACTTGAGCGTCAATTATAGAAATACTGAACAATTAGAACAGGGTGAGAAATACGCACAAGTTTCACGAACAGTGAAATTTGGTAAATTAAAAAACCTTTAAATAAGCAACGAGTGATACTTTTTAAGGCTTTTTAGATCGGTTTGGGTGGCAGATTTAATGCAGGAACGGTATTATTACTGTAATTAGGGGCGCGCCTATTAGTTGATCATGCCTAGTTCTATGTCTTATACTTAGCCAATCAGTTGCTTAAATATTCAATACGAAGTAATCAACTCAAATAATGAATTGTATTTTAGCTCAACTTTACGAAGAATTAAAGGGGACCTTAAGGTGCATTCACGAAGAATCCGAATTTTCGGATCGGAAAGCCTACCGAAGCGATCAGGAATTCGGATCAGTGTAAAAGAATAGGGACGATGGCGTTCAGCGCTTCGGAAACGCGGTCAGACTTCAACTTCGGATCCGATGTAAATGTTTCTTTATCTGAGATAGGCCTACGTTTAATATCATTATACTTAGACCTACAGTAATTGAAAAGAGTGTTGACAAAGATATGGATTTATCCATCCTGGAGATGTGGTTCGTGTACGTAATTTATACACTCATCTATGTTTGTACAGGCCCCCATAAGTTTATATGTCTTAAGCATATTACTATCATCACATGAGTAGGCCTACTTACTTCTCTGAATGAGTCCCTGTAATTCAATGTATCGGATCCATTTGCGAGTTCGTCTATCGCATTTACTTCTGCCGGCACACCTCCTGTCCTCTTCAGTACCAGATCACTTAGTTCATATCCATCTGAAGGAGAATCAAGTGAAAATCGATATAACGACTTCTTTCTCACTATTATCGTATTATTTTTGATATGTTTTAATAGCATTATTTTTTACTGTGATTATATATATTATAAATGATATAGGTGTATATATATATATATATATATGTGTGTGTGTGTGTGTGTGTGTGTGTGTGTGTGTGTGTGTGTG